GTTGACTAAAACCGTGGAACAGGTGCCGGTGCGGTGACGACGTGGACTACACGCTGCACGGTACGGGAACGTGCAACTTTTCGTGCACTGGGTCGGACGAGACGGTGTGTGGGGGAGAGTACGCCTTTGACTTGTACGAGATCTACGGAGATGGCGGTGTGGACGGAGTAGTGTCCAGCGGCACCGATGACCAGGGGGACGACACTGGCGGCGTTGGGAACGACGAAGGTGTGTCGGTGTGTGTGGTTTGACTGGTTTTATCATCGACCGGCTGACCAATGAGAACACGTCAGTCGGGGGCGACGAAGGTGTGCGTGGTTTGATTGGTTCAGCATGGACTCGTTGTCCAATGAAAAGACGTCGGTGCCGAATGTTCTCGTACCATGTGTGTTGTATCATCGACCGACTGACCCATCAAAAGATGTCAGCCTCAGTGCGGCGGAAGAGAGAGCACGCGTTTACAGGCTAGGCTATCATGTTATGTGGAACCTCTCTATATCTATTATCATCGACCGGACTATCTGCCTGCCCGGTGAGTGCCAGAGGCTAACGTCTTGGAACGTGGTGAAAAATCGAACAAAAAAAAAATGAAAAAGATCAACGCGCTGAACGCGAATGCGTGTCTTTGTGCGCGAACACTGTGTAGTCATCGCCCCCCCAGGGTGGACGCCCTGCATGTTCTGATCCGCGCATTTCCTTTCGTTTGACCACGTCCCGTTGGTCTTTGCAGCGAACGAGACCGATAGCAGCAGCAACCACGACACCACCGACAGTTACACCGAGAGTGTTGTGGTCGTCCAAGGCGATGACGACGAGGTAGGTTCATCTGCGTATACTAGGTATTGGCAAGCTTACGTGTGACTGCTGCTGCTGGGTGTTCATAAGCTTTCGCATCGCTGCTGCTGCTGCTGCTGCTGCTGCTGCTAGGTGTTCATAAGCTTAGACACGGCAGCTGATGCTGCTGTGACGTAGAGGCTGTTTGTCCTACTGGTGTGCTGTCTAGCTAAGGTTATCGGAGTTCTCCTATGGTAAGACTTCAGTTGAAATCAATCATTTCATCCCGCGTAACCCAGAATGCAAACAGTGAAGGTTGATGCCGTATTCCACGCAAGATAATACCCCCCCCGGTGACGAGATGTTTATCGGCCTATCATGGATATTGTCACGGGCGAAACACTCTTGTGGCACAGATTCTTGACCCTGTTCATTGACCCGAGAGAAGTACCACGTTTCGGCCTCATGTTGAACCCGCAAAATGCTGGGGCGGTGGATTCTTTGGTACGGTGGTGTCATTTCGTGTGGAATATGATACGCATAAGGCAGGCCGAGACTGCGAGGGACGGTTACCTTACGCCACGACAATAACGAAGAAACCCAAGTCAACCCGACTGAGTATGCACCATCTTCCGTGGATGGACGTACATCAGTTTTTTCAAATTGGGGGGGAAACGCTTGGGGGGGGGTAGAGAGACGCACCATCTTCCGTGGATGGACGTACATCAGTTTTTTCAAATTGGGGGGGAAACGCTTGGGGGGGGGTAGAGAGACGCTGGTTGATTGAGAACCCGACATTGACCCTCTACCCGTGTAGTGACACGAATTTCCTCACCTCCTCATTGTCTCCCTCTGCCGCCCCCCGCCCCGTATCGACTTATGGCCCCTTCTTAGCGGACTACCCCCAAATCAATTAATCGTCCCCCCTCAGCTGATCCCCCCCCCCCCCCCCCCCCC